GCAGGCAAGTTCCTGGGGAGCTGGCGAACAATCTGGGGGAGTTTCCAAAAAGTGTTCAGTTGTGTCAAGTTTGAATTAGCTTCATGTGGTTTTCAGTGCCTTTGGTATATTTTGCAACAGAATGGGTTAAAGAAGAGCTATTAAAGCAATTTATGTAAGAAAGTGAGCATCAGCCAGGCATGGTGGCACATGCATTTAATCCCAGCACTCAGGAGGCAGAGGCAGGTGGATTTTTGTGAATTCAAGGCCAGCCTGGTCTACAGAGTGAGTTCGAGGGCAGCCAGGGCTGTTACACAGAGAAACCCTGTCTCAAAACAACAGCAACAAAAGCAAACATCTGAGAAGCCACCTCTTATCCAAGAACTTGAACATGACACATGACATGTGACATGTGTGCCGCCTCCAGAAGCAACTGATACTGAATTGTATGTGTCACAATCTCTTGCTTTATTTCAGTTTGACCTTATACATTTAAGGATGCTTGAGCAACAGACTTCTGAAAAACACGTTGTGCTGAATATCATCTTTCAGGGCATGGCTTTTTACTCAGTGTTACACCAGATTCACAGATGCAGTAACATGTTTGTGGTTAATTTACTTTCATGTGGTGATATCTTGCTTGTACAGATAAAGCCTGTCTGAAGGTCAGAGAATGGAGTTTGCCGCTAGCTAAGCATAGAGGTCTGGAGGTCTGTACAGACAGACAGGAGGGAGACGACATGTAGCTACTGGGAAGATAGGACATCAGGCATTCTCCAGTAAGCCAAGGCCACATGGAAATACTTAGATTAATAGAAATGGGTTAATAATTAAGAGAGAGCTAGCCAATAAGAAGCCTGAGCCGTTGGCCAAACAGTTTATAATTAATATAGGCCGCCATGTGTTTATTTGGGACTGAAGGGCAGGAAAGAAACTCAGTCTGCACTTTCACACTTATAATACTCTATCCTGGTAACAGAGCAAAGATTCTCTAACTATATCAGAATATTAGAGGTGTCACTACTCATCTCTAATGACTAAATGTTGCAATAAGCATTGGTTTTAGGATCTAAAGTTAGAAATGTGTGCCTGGGGTAATGAGGAATCACAGTGATGTAACTTGTGTATAGGAATTCCTTTTTCAGTGATGAATGCAGATCTAGTATGGTGCACAAAGCAGTTAAAGAAATGGGATCTTCATTCTGAACACTGTGATAGCCAGGGCATTCTCTCAGACAATGAATGTTGTAGCCCAACTGCCCTCCTGTTCCTCTTAAAGCTTTGACATATTGGGCCTAGGCCCTCCCCAGTGTGTCTAGGCTGAGAGAGTATCTCTCTATGAGGAGAGGGCTCCCAAATTCATTTGTGTACTAGGGGTAAACACTGATCCACTACCAGTGGCCCCATAGATTGTCCAGACCTCCAAACTGACCTCCTCCTTCAGGGGGTCTGGAACAGTCCTATGCTGGTTTCCCAGCTATCAGTCTGGGGACCATGAGCAACCCCTTGTTCAGGTCAGCTGCTTCTGTGGGTTTCTCTAGCTTGGTCTTAACCCCTTTGCTCATCACTCCTTCCTCTCTGCAACTGGATTCCAGAGTCCAGCTCAGTGTTTAGCTGTGGGTGTCTGTGTCTGCTTCCATCAGCTACTGGATGAAGGCCCTAGAATGGCATATAAACTAGTCATCATTCTCATTATCTGAGATGGGGTTTTAAGGTAACCTCTGTACTATTGCTTAGATTGTTAGTTGGGGTTGACCTTGTAGATCTCTGGACATTTCCCTAGTGCCAGATTTCTCTTTAAACCTATAATGGCTCCCTCTATGATGGTATCTCTTTTCTTGCTCTCCTCTATTCCTTCCCTGACTAGATCTTCCTGCCCACTCCTGTCCTCCTCTCCCCTCCCCTTCTCTTTCTTCTAACTCCCTCTCCCCTCCTGTTTTCACATATTCTTAAAATGCTATTTTTTATTAAACATATAATACCCAAATGCACAATTCTTAGAAAGAAAAGCCTAAACAAAGAAACAAACATGGATACTGAAGTTTTCCTTTTTATCCCTAACCCAGGCTTTTTCCTTCACTCACACAATCACCATTCCTCAGTTTTGTTTTCTAGGCGCTCCCACCATCAGCTTAGTTTGAAATCAAAATACTTTAATTAGAAAGACAAAAAATGATAAAGTTAAAAAACACACACACGAAGAAGAAGGCATTCTGATTTAACACTCATTTGAATTAAAATTATCACAAAGAAAGAGCAGAAAAAAGAATTTCAAATTTATGGAAAGAGCAAAATGTGCTGGTTTGGTTTTCTATTTATTATTTCATCAAATAACTCATCACACATTTTTTGGTTTGTGAAATGCTCAGAGTAAGCATTAAACACGTATCCATTTTCAAACTTATTTGTGTACTAGGGGTAATAATTAATAATAATAATAATAATAATAATAATT